ACTTGTAGGCAAAACCATTATCTGTACAACATATTACAATTCTCTAATCTTTAAAAAACAAAAAGGCTTATTTTCCTGAACTATTAAGATTTAAGAAAGTATGGTATTCATAAAAATACTGGTATTTTGTACAGCTGTTAAATATTTTTAGAACCTGGATTTTTTTAACTAAATGTTTACTTTATAGGTTCCTATTATCATCCATAATGAGAGTGAACAGGCAACAACTTGGACTCAAGTTTACAGTGAAAAAACCAGAAAGCAATCTATTCCAGTTATTACAGCTTGGCAGTTGAATGAAAGAATGTATGAAGATATTAATCTTTGCCTATGTTTCCTGTTCATATGATATGTTCAATGATTTTTAGAAGAACAGAATTACCCTTCTTTATTCTCCACTTCTTAAGGTACGGGGAGTTACAGGGTCTTAATAAGGAGGAGACTGCAGAAAGATACGGGAAAGAGACGGTGCACGAGTGGCGTCGGAGTTTTGATATTCCTCCTCCCAAGGGTGAGAGCCTGGAAATGTGTTCACGGAGAGCTGTTGCCTATTTTGAAGATTCTGTAAGGGTGTTATTTTTCTTATTCGCTAATGTAAATGTTTCTATTGGATTTGTATGACATTGATATCTTGCTTGGGGTTGAAACATTTTAAATTTCTATGAGAATTGATACCGAAAAGCATGTGTTGTAGATTGAACCCCAACTAAAGTCAGGAAAGCACGTGATGGTTGCTGCTCATGGAAACTCATTGAGGTCTATCATCATGTATCTTGAAAAATTAACCTCTCAAGAGGTAGCATCCTGCAGTTCTTATTAGTGCCACCATCTCAATTATGTAAATTTTTCTTTGGCATTAAATAAAATAGGACTGGGTTTAACTTTAACTCTGTCAACAAACAGGTCATTAGTTTAGAATTATCAACTGGGATACCGTTGCTTTACATATATAAAGGGGGGAATTTTATCAGTAGAGGAAGTCCTGTGGGGCCTACAGAAGCTGGTGTTTATGCATACAGTCAGGTATGATCCCTTTGCCTGGTATTTAATTTACCTAGTCTTATTGTTGAGCTGAAATTATCCCTGAATACTTGTCAAATTAATGAAGGATCAATGCTATGTGAGGAGGGTTGGTGATATTTGGGAAACATGAAAGGACCACATGCTTCTACGTATGTGATGGGGTCATGTGGCTTAGTTTGTTGCAGCTTTTGGTCTTTTTTACTTTTTCCTGTTGGCTAATAATCACCTGTATTTATGATCTGCGGAATTGCCTAAATTTTGTAGTTATATTATTATTTAATTTTCATAAATATAAGAACTAAGTTATGTGCTAATGCACAACATCTAACAAAAAGCTTATAGCTTAATTTCCGTTGGTGGCAATACCTTTAAGATTTGGTATTTGGATGTTATATGATCATTATGATGACATCAGAGGTTCAATCGTCCACCAGGTCTCCCATCTCCCTCGGCTACCTAGGTTCAATCTTACCAAAAAAATATATACCATGTCTCGTTTAAGAAGTGGGAATCATCTTCATGTATATAATTAAGTCAAGTATTTTTCATTTCAAGTAAAAAATCAATGTCACAACAAATGGGGATGGATCTAGAAAACATGTATGGAGGGCCAAAAGTAACAAAGTTGACAAGCATAGTTGTATTAATGGGTCACAAAACTACAATATTTCTTTTTAATATATAAAAAACCGCAGTCTGTATATAAAATTGAAAAGCCAGAAGTCCTTTGACTCCCCCTTCAATCCATCCCTGATAATTTTTTTTTTTATTGGTGGTTTTCAAAAGCAAGCTTGAAACTTTACACATCCTAGCAATGTGAAATTTTAATTAAATAATTGAACATGTTCTCAAATGGAAAACAATAATCTTTTCCATTACCACCGAGCACCTAGATTTGATTGTGGGTGGTTGTTCTAGCTCAACTAGGGTCTTGAGTTTGAGTCCCTAGGAATGCTGCTGATTTGAAAACATGGAGGGAGAGTTTGTTGTCCGTGGCCCTACCCAGCTCAACCTAGATTAGGCTAATGCCTAATGCGATGTCCTGATATGAGTGGTCCTATTTTCGTTAGATGCCTACCGGAGGCAATGTATTATGTAATGTACTGCAGTCCATTTGCTGACAGATTTTCCCCGGATGCCTCTTGAGATGAGATATATAACCGTGGACCTATTTGTTGAGTCTAACAGAGATTATAGCCTAATGGAAAACCATATAATCCATTTCCTTCGGGGTTCAGTGAGATTTTTTTACTGATGTTTGGTTTGGGATATATAAGATATTATCATGCTTTTTCTGAATAGTTGGCAGATTGCGTCTTATTTATTTGTTATATTCATTTTGTTGAACATATATGATAATACCCTTGTTGTATGTTGCTATTTGTACCTACAGAGTTTAGCTGTTTACAGAGAGCAGTTGGATGAAATGTCTCATTGTTATTGATCTTGCATGTGAAAGATCAGAAAGGTATTCTACAATACCCGGTGATGATTTATACTTCTAATGTCCACTTTAGTCAATATCTTAAATTCCCGTATAAGCTGGATTATACTGAATGTTGATCACTGAGCATGCTCATTATATCTGCAGGTATACTTGTCGATATTCATTTTTGGTGGATGGCTTTCTGGTTTGGGTATGGCCTTTCCTATTATTGACCAAAATCCGTGACAGTTTCAAATATGCGAACTTCATGGCAAAACATGGGAACTCTGAAAAATTTTCTGCATTGTAGCAACGCGATAGCCTCGAAACAATTCGGGTTATAGCGTGTTTGCTTCCGAGTCTAAACGTGAAAATTCACGTTTTCAGCAAGTAAAAAATTTCAACTTCCACGTAAATTTAATTCAAAGCGTGGAGAGAGAGTCAAGAATTACGTTTACAAATTCAAACCAAACACACACTTAGAGAAAGTGAAAAACAGGATTAGTAAATGTAACACTAGTCTTGAACTTGCTTGTGTCTGAATGGAAGTGAGCTTATAGGCTATACGTTATAGGTATAACTGCCATGTTTTAGAACTTACTGGGAAATGAATTCACGGTAAAGGAATGAAAACTGTATAAATGAATTGAAGTATTTTGTGACCATTATTCTATATTTTCTCAAAACAATTTTCCATATATTTCCTTTAAGCATTGCGTGGCGAAATTATAGTTGGGAAGAAGAAAATATTTGAAAAGGAAAATAACAATGATGGAAAAACGATCTAATTTGAAAACCAACAAAGAATAAGTTAAAACCAGTCAAAACTCAACAATTGGTGATGGAGAACTTATTCGAATCGTTCAATTTTTACTTTAAATGTGTTTAGTCTCGGTGAAGTTTATGAAATTTGTTTTTTTTTTCCTTTCCCTTTTTTATATTGGTGAAGTGATATTTTCTTTTAATTCAAACAGTTATAATAATAATGGTACTAAAATTCGAGCTTAGAATTTATATTACTTCAAATTTCATTAATATACTAACTCTAGTGATTATATAAGTGAAGTAACATATATCTAGTGATGATGATTTTAATGTTATCAGAGATTCACTTATTTTAAAAGTAAGTTTATTTAAATTTATTCTATTTAATAACTCATATTTTACATTAAATTTTAATGATTTAATTATTGAATTAAAATTTTTTTAATACATAAATCAAGTTAGTAAATTTTTAAAGAATTTGAAATTTTTTTGATATTCTGTTTCATTAATTTAAATTAATATATAAAGTATTTTATGATTGTCTGTCAATTTAAATTAATGAAGCGAAATATCAAATAATTTTTAAAATTTCTAAAACTTTGCAGACATAATTTATGTATTAATAATTTTTAATTTAACGGTTGAATTATTAAAATTTGATATAAAACGTGAGTTATTAAGTAAAATAATTTTAAATAAACTTTTTTTTGGAAAGAATGAATCTCTTCATATATATATATATATATATATAACACTACTTTACAATAAGAAATAAAAATAATCTCTCAACACATGATAGAAGAATATAATTTATCCAAATTATATTAAACAATTATATATGTTATAATTTTAATAATATTATTATTTTTGAATAATTATATTATTATATAAAGTTGTAGCTTCAAGGCTGCAAGTAGTGAAGATATTACATATAGTGGATTCAAATATATAAAATTAAGAATAAAATATAAAAATCTAAGATATGTATTTGTAATGAGTAAAAATTTAAAAGTGTAAGTTCAAAGATATAAAATGAGAATACAAAATATATAAATATTAAAATATTTGTAAATATATATATTTTTAAATTGAGAAAGTTCACTTGTACACTTTGATGAATATGTAAGTCTGTCACTCATTATATATCATTATATATAACAATTCTTTAGAATTATATTATTTATATAATATAATAATTCTTTAGAATCATATTATACATCAAAACTGAAAAAGTATCATTCACATGTCATTGTATTTGGTGAAACACTATAAATTGAAAATTTAAGCAATAGGTCTATTTTCGAGGCAAAACAGTTCTAAAATGCTCACGTGGCATTGTATGTCTTCAATTTTGGCTTACAAGGCTTACCGCCGAAGCACGTCAAAATGTTACTGATATTTCACGATGTCGTTGTTCCAAGGGGATTGAAAATAAACAACACATGCATTTTTTTAATTGAGTTGAGTATTAAATCGCAATTAAAAGTAATATTATCTTACATTTAATTTAGACCCCATTCAGAAGAAAATTGTATTTATATTAATCTATATTAATATATCTATACTCTTTTTAATAATTATCTTGATTTTTATATTTAATAAATTATTATATATTTTTATTATTAAAAAATTAAAAAAATATTTTTATCAAATCTAAAATTTAAATTCAAGATCTTAAAGTCAAAAGATTAATTATAATATCAATTGAATTAATATATTTTTATTATATAATTTTTTATTATTTTTAATAAAGACACGTACTCTCTTGTCTCTTATAAAAAAAGCACATTTTATTTTCAAATAAAATACTTTTTTTCTCCCCCTAATTAATTTTTGTTTTTTCCCCTTGAGGGTTGCGAAACTGGCAAACTGCGCAACAGAATTGTACAACATAAGGGGGTATGGTACCCTGTATTGCTACTACATCTAATTTTTGGCTTATTTTGTGAACCATTATCCAACCGTTTCATGCCTCTTTTTGGCTCCCTATCGCCCTCAACCTTAAGTGCTCCGAAAGCCCTGCCACCAATATCTCATCCTTTCAAAACCCAAAAAAAAACAATGACAACATAGAATATCTCGATTCATTAGTCACATCCAATTAGCAAACCAAAAATACATTCAATAGAAACTTTGATAAGAAGGAAACAAAACTTTGTGTTCGCTTTATTTTTTTTTTTCTCAATGTTGGACTCGTGGATGTGATGAACTAAATATATCATATTAAGGGCATGTTGCAAACACGAATGAATGAATGTCTTCGTTTACGGGTGCACGTTCAAAATCAAATGCTAACTCTAACTCTGAAATGACCAAAGCCAACGACGTTACCCTCAGCCCCGTCAACTCAAGCGTTTCATCAAACTCGCAAGACACTAGTGCCAATAAGAATGAGAAGAAAAAGAAGGTTTTATTATTATTATTATTATTATTATTATTATTATCATTCATTTCTTCCATGCATTGCAACGGTGCATTCTTCTTGACACTGTTTTTTGTTTTGGATCAAGTCTATCCTTCCAAAGATTTTCGGATCAAAGCGAAATGGGAGAGGCTCGGAAGAAGATGCACTCAAACCATCAAGTGCAGAAGAAGGAGATGGATTTACTCTTGGTATTCATCACAATATGATTTTTTTTTAATCTTCCTATAGAAAATCTAAATTTCCATGTCGCAAGGGTTGGCCGTACCTTTCTTTTTATAAATGTTTCATGTGATAAGATTTGGAGAAGAAGATCGAGACGAGAAGAAAAGCATTTATGGAAGCCTCCCCCATCATGAGAAAAAGTTTCTCAGGTACGATTTATATATATGCATGCATTAAGTTGTGTGGCACAAACACAATTTTCACATTCTCTAAAAACTGAATAACATAATTGCTCTAATCACAATTTTTTTCTATATAATATTATTAATATCAATATCAATATATCCAACATTGCGCCTTTATTTACATTAATAAAAAAAATGGTGGGTCAACTCTAGATTCTGGATCCAACTTGTACCTATCAAACAAGACGAAGTTTTCGTCATGTCATCATGTATTATTTTGGTAGCTTACCTAACAACAATGAAATTTTGGTTATTGGTAAGATGTTTTGTAATCAAGGGGAAGATCGTAACGGAGAAAAATCAAAATTTTATTGTTTGACATGGACTTAAACTCAAACTCTCCTTGTCTCATCTTAAAAATTGTACACCCACTGCAATTATAGATTGATTTGTCAGAACGTGACAACATTATAAAGTAAACCATGATATTAATTTCTTATCTACTCGCAGAAAGGGAGACTAGCCCTGGGATTGAAGGCCTAAACTTGTCCAATTTTGAACGCCCTATGGCTCCGGAAACTGAACTTCAGAGTTTCAGGTACGTGGGATTTCATTTTCAGTTCAAGGCTTCAAGCACATTTTTATTGTTGTTTGTTGCATATTGTAGTCAGACTCCATGCAATCTTCTTTTTCATGTTTTGCTCTTTTATTACGTGGATGGCAGGATCTTTGTTGCGACGTGGAATGTGGGAGGAAAGTCACCAAATTATGACCTCAACCTCCAAGATTTCTTGCTAGTGGAGGGCTCCGCAGATATTTATGTCTTGGGGTACGAACATGCAATAAGGAACATTTTAACTCAAGCATTACAGTTTAAATATATGGTTGTTATTAATGGAGAAAATTCTAATTTTATCTTAATTATTGTAACATTATACTCGGAATCACTAACCTTATCAATTTATGGTACCTAGTTAGACGTTAGGAAAACTAATAATTACAGTACATAATGAAAACAAATCACTCCTGATACGATCAAACAAAGGTACAATTAAAGATACAATCAGAATTTTCTCATCGGTTATGATCAAGACATAAATCCAACCAAGAAGTGATGCAAAGATGTTATTCTACCAACAGCAATGGAGATAAAGAAAAGAAAGTTGTACTTGAAAATTCATAAATCCTTATGTCCTGTCTGTTTGAATGCTTTTGTTTCTTTCCATTGGTTTCTTTTCAAATTATTACAAATTAATGTTACCTGAAATACTTTGTATCTTTCAGTTTTCAGGAAATTGTTCCTCTGAGTGCTGGGAATGTTTTAGTAATAGAAGACAATGAACCTGCTGCAAAGTGGCTAGCATTGATACATCAAGCACTAAACAGACCAAGAAATGAGTATAGTGATTCTTCTGACTCGGGAAGTGGCTCCAAAGCGCATAGTAGCTCGAAGGAGACGAAGTCCCCTGCAAGTTTGAATTTCTTTCAGAAGCCTTCTCTTAAAGTTATCAGTAGGAACTTCAGGGCAGAGGGTAGCAGCCTCCTTAAGGCTTGCAATTGTCCTGTGGAATCTCCATCAAGGGAGCGACGGAGAATAAGAAAGTTTAGTGACCCTATGAACAAGTTAGATAATGAGATTCGTGGTGAGGACACCGTGGAAGAGTTGCTTTCAATTGCGGAAATACCCTCTTCTCCTAGCCAAAGCAGATACTCCCTTATATCAAGTAAGCAAATGGTTGGGATTTTTCTCACCATTTGGACTAAGAAGGAGTTAGTGCCACACATCGGACATCTTAGAACAGATTCTGTTGGGAGAGGAATCATGGGTTGCTTAGGTAACAAGGTAAGCACAATCATATTATATTTAGTAAATATATATAGAAAAACACTATAAACACACTTTTTAATGCATTCTTTACGATACAACCCTTTATTATTGACCAAAATATATTGAACATCATAAAATTGCAGGTCTCAATCTCATTTTTTATTTAATGAGTATGTAATTTTGTAACTTTTAATAAATTTTAATTATTAATAAATAGTGTATTAAAAATAATGTGTCAGATAGTGTATTAGTAGTCCTTATGTGTGTATAACATGTCACTCAACATATTACATAGTTCACTAATTAATAACAATGAAAGTATGATTTGCTATTTTGGTCGCGAACTACGAAGGCTAATAGTGAAATATGGAATCAATAATTGATTGCAGGGGTGTATATCAATGAGCATGTCATTACATCAAACGAGTTTTTGTTTCGTCTGTAGTCACTTGGCTTCTGGGGAGAAAGAGGGCGATGAGCTCAAGAGAAATGCTGATGTGTCTGAGATCCTCAAAAGCACACAATTCCCTAGGATTTGCAAGAATCCTTGCCGTCGAGCGCCTGATAAGATCGTTGACCATGAGTAAGTTATTATCGCATTAATATTTGACTTATGAGTTAATAGAATCTTCTCTTATACAGCACATAATTTGCACTAGCCATCATGAATTCTAATCACTCTTAGCCTGTTGTGCAGTCGGATAATATGGCTGGGAGATTTGAATTACCGAGTGGCTTTGACTTATGAAGAAACAAGGGTTCTGTTGGAGGATAACGACTGGGACACTTTGTTAGAGAAAGATCAAGTGTGTCCCTGCATTCATATACTATCATATTATTAGTACAAATCTACAATGGTTATATTAATATAATTTAATTTTTATTAAACAAGGCATACATTCAAATCAAGACAAGTCTAACAACTAGCTTTATTTTGTGTTTGTTAATATATGAATTTTTTTTTAGTACTGTGTACTTTCTTTGTCACATAGGTAGGTAAATTGATTGAGTTGTATTTCATTTTGTTCAGTTGAACTTGGAAAGAGACGCAGGAAGGGTTTTTAACGGTTTCAAAGAGGGTAGGATTGTTTTTGCTCCCACTTACAAGTATTCACATAATTCAGACTCTTATGCTGGTGAGACTGTCAAGTCAAAGAAAAAACGCCGAACACCCGCATGGTATTGCACTTCTCTTGACTCTTATTAATAATATATATAATATGATGTATACGTATAATATAAGGTCAATTAAATATGAAGTGCTAGCTAGCTGGCTTTTCAATACAGATAAACCAAAACGGTTGACATTAATTACTCTCTTCAATTGAATAATTTTCAGGTGTGATAGGATATTGTGGCGTGGCAACGGCATTGAACAATTATCATACATCCGTGGAGAATCAAGATTTTCTGACCACAGACCTGTTTGTGCTGTCTTTTCTGTGGATGTGGAAGTAAGAAGCAGAAACAACAGGTTCAGGAAGGGCTATTCCTACACAAGCCCAAGGCTTGAATACGAAGACTTCATACCTCAAAGGCATAGTTTTTATGATTATTAATTAAAGCCTCAAATCAAACTTGTATATTTCCTTAGGGTCTATAGAAGAATGATTTGTCACCTCTCTTTTATTTCCTTCCTATTTTATCCCGCACTCACCAAGGTGACCAGAGCTAGTTATTAGAATCTAACAATATAAGAGCAAAAGATAAATTTACACAAGTGGCTAAGGAATGACTCCAATTTGTTATTACTCGTAGAGGTCGATGTAAATAGAGTTGAACTATTTATTATGGGAGAAAAACATGAAATTAAGAAAAAACAGTTACAGTATTTGTACAAGCTAAAGACTATCTTGTGTTACATTAGGAGACCGTGCCTTATTAATTAATATTTAATTAGTCATTGATCTCTAATTAATTAGTACCAACATATATAGCAGTGAACGATCCAAAAGGAAGAAGCGAGGAGCTTATTTGTAAGTTAAGTCCCAAATTGAGGTTAGTTCTTGGCCTTGTAGGGTATCTTGCTCATGATTATGATTCAAGTCTATTTCCATCTGATCCAGTGCAGCTTGAAACTCGAGATCTTCAAGGGCATTTAGCCATAAGCCTCCATAATCTTCGGGTGTCTTTCCTGCAATCTCTCTCAACTGATCATTCAGATACCCAACAATGTTGTTCTCATTCTGATTACCTCTTGCTACCATGTTCATCCAATCGTCCACACTTGGAAGTTGTGTTTCATTGTTAGGATGATCATGAAGGAGAAAAGGACTTTGGTTATTGCGGTAAGCACAAAGGGATTCATGGTTCATCCTTGAGTTTTTGTCAGGAAATCCCATATCCAATTCACTTTGTGGACACTGAGAGTATTGACAAGCATATAGCTTATCAAAAGCGGCATCTAAGTCAAACACACTCTTCCTTTTCTCATTGCTGCCGCCTAAATTGGGGCCATCATTCAACTCAACTACACAACTCCCTTCATGTGAAGTACCAGTAGAGCTTTCACGCTCGCTCTCATCTTCATCAGATGGAGATATCTTGAGGCACTTATTGGTAAGTTGTAGCAAAGCTTCTTCTTGGTTCATAACCTTGGACCAAGTTGCTGTGTCCTTGGCTGTCATCTTATCTTGCAAAGTCTTGGACTGAGTCACCAACCTTTTAAGTTTGTCCACATCAGGAGACATGTGTTTGATGACTGCAGCCAAGAGAGAGACTTTCCAAGCCTTCTTGAGGTCATGGGGCTTCTTGTAGGGAGGTGGGCCATGTTCTTGGGCCAGAAGGCCTTGTTGACCCCACCAACTTTCTGTCCCTGTGGGCCACCAAGGTGGAGCCAAGCCTCTCTCAAGAGGGAACCTTCTTTGGGGTGGCATGCAATGTTGCATGAGAGCAGAAAGAAGTGAACTCAAAGTAGTGTCTTGCAAGTCATTAAGGAGGTGTATATAGGAAGACGGATCCAACTCATTCGTCTCAAGGAGTGGCATGTATTTCTCAATGGCAGTTGGAGCATTCTGATCAAATTTGACTTTTTCTTTCCACCACTCACGCAAGCTGTCAGAAGAACCGGTCACTGGCTTACCCTTCTCGGGGACAATTCCATACACAAAACCTTGAGCATTGCAAACTTCCATTATCTTCACCATGTACTTGAGGATTGAATCTTGTGCTCTTGACATCTTCTTCCGCCTAGATGCTTCTTGTTTTGCTTCTTGGTCTGGCTCTTCTTTGGGGCGTTTTCCCTTTAGCTTCTGCAGCAGGATCCGATCCTTCCACATGCGCTTCTTAAGCTGGTCGTAGTCGATTTCTTCCTCTTCATTTTCTTCTTCATCGAAGGGGTTGATTTCTTCGTGAATCTCCACCATGATTTCTGTGAATATATTCCTCCTTGCTTCTTCAAAAGTCGGTATGAGAAAAAGGTGTTTTGGTCGTGCTGGAAAAAAAAAAAAAAGAAATTGAGAAGAATGCAAGATGTGCACAAATGTTGATAAAATATGTGTAGTTATTTATATGCGTGCATGAAGGTACTAGAATGGCGGTGGTAGAAGGGTAAGATGGAATCGGAAACTTAAGCTTAGGAAGTTCAACTAATAAATGCATGAACAAGTCAAAGTAAGTTCAATTCAATCCACCCCACTCATGCTTTTTCTTTTTCGTTTGAGTGTATGGGAATGTGTGTGAATGAGTATTCAAACACACCCTAAATACAATAAGGGATGAGGACAAGGAAGGGAGTTTCGAAGGTTGTAAGTGTTGCAGTGTGGACAATTACCTGAGGAAATGGAACTGTGAGTGCTGTGAGTGCCGCGTGTTGGCCATGCGAGGTTGTGTTGGAGGGTACTATTAATGCACATTTTGAATGCAACTTCTTCTATATCTAAGAAGTGTATATATAATATAAGTGACGTCATAATAGCATATGCGTAACTGCATGGAAAATTTGCATGATGTTGATGGTGGTGGCCATGGAATGTTTATCATCAAATAGATCATCATCATAATCACCATGAGCTGGGTACACTAGAGGTCTGATTCGTGTGCAATATGATATGAGCTGTTTTTTTTATACCAAATCTTCCTTGGTCTTTTATGAGACCTGCATGTGTGTTTTGAATGATGTAATCTCCAACGAATAGTTATTATTATCACTTTGCAATAAATAACTATGGCTCTTAGATTTCGCGGGGGGACACAACTTAACTGGCGAGGGAGAGAAAATAACAGAATTAAGTAAGGAAGATGGTGTAACATCATAACGCAAAAAATAATTTTCTTTTCTCTTCTTTTGACAACATGTTTATAGCGTGTTTGGTTACAATTTTTGTCATCCAACTGTGTAAAAAAAATAAACACACGATTTAATACGCACGTCATCAAATGAAAGTTCAGTCTTCCTTCACTCCATCTGTTGTATGTGCTAAGATTCTGATAGCTGAACCTTTCGGCCCAATCGATGAGCAAGCTCGCGAATCACTAATTATCAGCCCAAGAGAAAGGATCCAAAACCCATTTGGGTTAATGACTAGTTGTCAACCCACAGCTATTAAATTTGAAAAATTCTACACTACCATTCTTAATTGAGGGTGTTAAAATTATCAATTTCATTCTAAATTTGTTATTTTAATGATTTATTTATATAATATTATTATATTTTTGAATTATTTTTATATTGTTTTTGGTATTTTATATTTTCATTTTCTTTTTAAATTATTTAGTCGTGTTATTCTCATTCTCTAATTTTTTTAATAGTATCATTATATACTTAAATGGTTTATTTTTTAGCATATTTTTGCCTTTTCACTTTAAGTTTTTGAATTTTTGTAGTGTAAATTAATTTTTCACTTCTATTATTTGTTAATTATTTTCTTTATTTTAGTATTTTTATAGTATTATTGCAAGCTTATAATTTTAATTTCTATAATTTTGTCCTACTTTTTATTATATAAACACAATCTAGATTATTCATTTTGTAACAACTCACATTAAATTTTGTTAGCAATATTATCTTTTATGTTATGTTATTATAATTTTCAAAAATTTCTTATGAAGGGGGATTACAAGTTTACTACACCAGTACATTGCTCCTAGAATGTAGGTAACCACTTTGTATATTTAATCAGGAAAATATATATATTGAAATGGATATCAAGAATTTTTTTTATTTTTTTTTACCAATTGTAGTGTTTGGAGACTCATTCTCTCAAATTAAAATATTATTTTTACAAGGAGGTTTTTCTCTCTATTATTGTACTTTATCACTTACTCACTCACTCATGAATCACTATAGACAATTTACTGGTGAAAAAGTTTGTGTAGTATACATAAAGTCATATATTTAAGCTCTATTGTGATCAATTAATTTTTATAGATAAAAAAATAGATAAAAGAGTAAATAGAGCCTTTGGAGTACAAATAGTACCCATGAACCATGAGTTCATTCCTTGCTACTACATAATGTGTATATTTATAGGTAGCGTAATTATTATTTCAATATAAGACCAAAATCTTGCGATATGAGATTTAATAATAATAAAAAAATCGGTTGATAACAATCTAAGTGATTGCCAACAATCCTTTGGAATATAACTAGAAAAAATTTACTAAAATCAATTCTTACCTTGTGCCTATAACCAAGAGAGAAGACAAAAAAAGCCTCACCCTTAATTTCATGCAAGCCTAAAGCAATAAACTTGAGAAGAAGAAAAAATCCAAGCTTCTCAACAAAATTTCAATGTTGAGTTATCTCATAAATTTTCAAAATACAATCTAATATTGTTTCTACATTATTATTATTTTCTCAAACTATTTAAGTAGAGGAGAAGACATTTATTATAATATTTTTTTAAAAAGTATAACGATGAGTACATATGGTAGGATGTTGTTAATCCCATTTTATTTAATTTATTCTCTCAAACTTAATTAATATAATTTTACTTATTTTTATTTTATTGTTTTATAATTCCTTGTTAATTTATTATTATGATGTTATTATTACAAATCATTCACTCAACATTCTCGATGATAATTGTTAAATATGTTCATATTTGTTATCTAATTTAGATAATTATTTGGTATATTTTATACTTAGAGTCCTATTTTTGTCAAAGATTTGTATTCTAATTATGTTCAATTAATTAGTAGTGTTCTCTTAGTTTTAGGTCTTTTTGATATTTTTTCTATTAAATTTTGAGGTATAGGAAAGAAGAGTTAATGACAAAAAATCACATTTTAAATGACTTCATGTTCGCTTAAAGCAAGTCATTTAGACTCTCAAAGCGAGCCAACTTAGAAGACACCTTGAAATAACATGAAGAGTTCTCTCAAGCGAGTCATTTGTGCATTGTAAGTGAGCTAATATAACAATGTAAACGTGATACATTATCAAGTTCACTTAAGTGAGTCAACTTGCGCAGAAAAAAGTCCACTTACGACATTATAAAATGAGTTTGAGGGATGTAGCTACTTACTTTGTTTATTGGTATTATTTATATAGATTGGAGAGAATGAAAGTAATAGCCTTGTATTAAATGAGTTTGTATTTGTGAGTAAATTCTTTAGTCACAAGCAGCTAAATTTTATGTTGTTGGGGATTGAAGTAACTACCTTACTTCATGTAACTCTTTTCTATTCTTATTCAATAAAGGCTTTTATTTAGTTAATTGTTGTTCTTCTATTGTTAAAGCATGTCTTGACTTAACTACCCTTTACATGATCCTATGTAATTAATTGATGTTTGAGAAATCCCTTTAAAATTACAATTTGAAGAATATCACTAATAACACTTATTATAAGGAATAGAATAAGTCTTATTAGTCAATTTTTTTGCCTTAGATCTTAATATGGTTATTTAACAAACTTCGCCAAGGAATCGAAATCAATTATTGACATCTTTTATTCATTAATTTTTAATTCTTATTTTTAATTAATCTTTTTATTGCTTGAAACCCTAAAAACACGTTTTTAATCAATTTGTGGTATAAAATATTTTTATGATTATTCGTCAATTTAAATTTAATGAAACAAAAAATCAAATAGCTTTCAAATTTTAAAAAATTTACATACTTAATCTATGCATCAATAATTTAAAATTTAATGGTTGAATCATTGAAATTCGATGTATAACATCGGTCATTAACACAAAGTAAGTTTAGGTAGATTTACTCTTAGAGTAAACGGATTTTTCTTCATATATAAATATATAAATATATATATATATAAACTAATATAAAAATATAATTACTTAATAATAATTTATTTAATTATTTATTTAAATTGTATTATGGTATTATAACTAAAACTCTATCTAGCCTCATTTTTTCTTCTTACAATATTGCATCTTGCCATCTTCACCCATCCACCGTGTCGTCGTATTGTCGCTTGTGTCTCCACCTTGTGTTATCGCTTGTGTCTTCGTCGCTCACATCTCCAGCCCGCATCTCTGTCTTGCATCTTCACTCGCATCACCTCGCATTTTACTTATATCAATGAGTCAAACATGAATAATTTAAATATTATCAATTTTCTTAGTAACTATGACTTATTTATGAATGATACAATTGAAACACAAACAAAGTCTAAAATAGAGTTATACTTGAAAAAAAAGTTTTGCCTGAGAGTATTACTTTTGACATTCTTGCATGGTGGAAAACAAATGAGATTAAGTATCCAATTTTGTAAAAAATTACTAAGGATGTTTTGGCAATCTTAATTTGTACAGTAGCTTTAGAATCTACATTTAGTATAAAAAGTTAATTTTTTAATTTTCATCATTTTAGACTCCATGAATTTACCTTTACATATTTGTTTTTTTGAAATTTATAGTATAAAATTTAGTCTATAATTTTAATCTAACTAATTTTTGTATAATTTTTTCATAGGTCTCGGAGAATATTGTTGACATGATCATGATGTTGAAAATTTAACTACTTTTATTATGTTGATTTTTTTAAAGTTTATTTACAAAAATTGGATGTTTTATAATTTTTATTTATAAAAATTGTTATATTAGAATTTTGTAATATTAAAGACCTAATAAATTAATATTATGTTTGCTTGTATAAAATGTTATGCCTAGTAATTTATTCACCTTATATATAAGTAAAATACAAGTCGTGGGTGTCAATATGGGTACACATGTATTCAATGGATACGGGGATGAGAATTAAAATTACTACCCGCGTGGGAATGAGATTCGATATGATTATTATCTTTAAACACAAATTTGAGGATGAATATTATATGATCCTACCAAAACCCTATCTATTGTCATTCTCTTTCTTATTTGATTTAATTTTTATTTATCATAATTATTCATAAATTAAATACTAATATTTTAAAATGATTTATCAATAAATAAAAATAAATTTTTAATTATAATACAAATGATTTATCATAAATATAAAATATAATTTATATATTTAAAAATATTTATCTACACTTATTTTAAATATAATTTATATGTTGAATCATATATATTATATATAATTTATTATAAATTTTAATTAACTTATATAGAGGACTTTTAATTTTTTTAATTTTTATCTAATCCATTTTTTTTACTTTAATTATTTATG